CTGTAGGGAAACTGTATTCATTTCTTGTAGCATAAATTAGGGAATATAGCTTGTACACCAGGGACAAATTCAGCAAATGCAACAGAATGAGCTGCCTTTTTTTTTTTTTTTTTTTTTTTTTAAATTGGCAAAGCTTAATATGAGTGTATTTTCTCAGAAAATAGCATGGTGACTAAGGGGACAAAAATGTTAGCCCAACAAAACAAGCACTGCATTGTCAAAATTAAGAGCTCAATGTTTGAACATGTGCTAAGAACAAAATGCAGCTCTAAGTATACACATTTTTAAATATTTTTTTTTTAAAAAGCAAAATACATACTATTCATAGTTGGACAATCTATTTATGCTATAATTTATGAAATTTGAATTTCAAATAACTTTTACTTTTTTGACACCGAAAGCATTTTTCTTCTCTGTTCAATTGTTTTATGTTTGCACTGTATTTTTTTTTACGTTTACAATTAATGCCAGAGGCCCTCTGGATTCTATGAGTATAAATTATCTACTCAGGTATGCAGTAGGCAGGAAAAGAGCTCGTACCTATCTAATTATAATTTTAACAAATACTACTCCCATATGGACACCTTTGTATACTTCATAAATTTGCAGCTGGCACAAGCTGCTTGATTCTTTTCTCAGCCTTTTGAACCCTGTTTTCAAACGAAAGTTTGAAAGTTGGGAATTCCAGCAATTCCCATACAATTCACAGCATCTACAATTTATTTGTTTAATTAAAATCTTGCAATAAAATATCATACAATAAAATATCCATACCACCACAAAAATTAATTAACGTTGGCCAAAAAGTTGATGGTACATTCAATAATCAAATTGATAATTACTCCTCTTTGATTTTACGACAGCAGATTACATGATATGATATTGACACTGCTGCTGCCTAAAATATAGGAAGGTTTAATATCTAGCTGTACTAAGAATACTTTTTAATGTATAATTTACATATATTATTTCCCTATTGTTACAGTAAAATTCTAATTCAACACATCAAAAGCTGCACTCATTTTTGCACATGCAAAACCCTTTGTTTTTCCTCCTACACACTCATGCACACCCCACTGTGTGAAGGAAGATGCTTTCCTCTGACTGAAAAAGATGGTGGTTGAATAAAGACTCCACAAAATATAACCACAAATTTTGTATAGATGTCAACCATAATACACAAAGCTGAGACTACAGTAGCTGAATTTGCTGCTGTTGAATAGAAAGGCTTATTTTTCCTCTAATAAAATTCCCTTTAATGCTTGAGTTAAATTTGAAGTTAATAGTCTGTTCATTTGTTTGTCCCAGATATCAAATGTATTTGTAGTGCAGCAAGATTCCCTCATAAATCACAGAGACACTAGGTGTCCTAGCAGTACCCAGCTTGGATGGCTTCTGCTGCCCTGCAGTCCCTCCTATCCTCGGCCATGGAGATGGCGACAGGGAATAGTGTCCATTGCTTCATTCTGTTGGTTCCTTATGGCCTTTATGTGTAAGAGATGTAGACTGATGGCTCCTGACTGTAACCCCAGAGGTGTATAAAGGATGCTCGGACTCATCTTTGGCATTTGGATGGTGAGCATAGTCAAGGACTCCTGTGCCAAACACATTTAGTGTGTTTCTAAAACCTACCATGGTTTGCTTTACCCACCTTACCTACAGACATGCTCTAAGATCTTACAAATTAATATTTGTAACATTTCTTGTGATGCAATATAAAAAAGACATGAGCAAAATCCTCTGGATTTCTGTTTTCTTTTTTTTTTTTTTTACACATGGAAGTGTCACATATCTTATATCTCTTTTTTCCTCAGCTTTGGAGGAAGTTTATTCGACTTGCATATAATTTTGTGGTAATCTTTATTCCTTGGGAAATGAGAATAAAGAAAATTGAGAGTAAGTATGAAGAGTTAATGATACTGAGCAATAAAGCACTTGCTAAAATGCTGAGTCTTAGGGTCTATTTTTTAATTTCTTGAATTAAATAATATTTGGGAGAGAGTTAAATGCAAATTTTCAGCAGTGACATTTTAATTTAAAACTTCACCTTTTCTTCTTTTCCTGGTGCCTTAGGCACTGCACAATTCTAATTTATGTTCTTAGTGGGTGGGAACTTTTAAAAAGTGAAATTCATCCCATTGTGGTTCTGAAAATGCAGCAAGATTTGGTTATGGTTTATCACGGTTCATGGGGCAGCATCCTCAGGCCAGCTTCCTCAGATCTGCCCAAGGCTATATGTGGTTGTAAGCTGCACCACCAGCCTTTGAGTCTTTGAATTGAATTAAAGCAATTCTTTAATTTCTAAGCGTGTTATTACATCAGAGGTCAGATCATACCTCCGTGCTTCAGTGGCAAAGGAAAATGGATGTCACCCAGCTTAGCAGCCTTTGGTGTAAATGCTCTTGGTTATCATGAGACATGCCCAACAGAGTTTGTGTTGGAATTATGTTTTTCTCCATGACACATTAACGTTTTCTACTTCAGTGTGTGCTCTGTGTGACTAAGAAAGGGTTTTAATTTTTTTTTATTCAAATAATACTTCATGAATAAATAATATGAGCTTTTATAGCCCATGTATCTCAGATAACTATTTTCTGTGGTTTAAGGTCATTTTGGTTCTGGAGTTGCATCTTACTTCATCTTCTTGAGATGGCTATTTGGAATCAATATTGTACTTACCATAATGACAGGAGCATTTGTAGTCTTACCAGAGGTAAGAACATGTTGTTAATACTTAACAGAAAAATGTTTACTCTTGCTCTTTCTTTTCTGAATTAAACAAATGCCATACGTGAAGGTATACATCAATTAGAACAGTACAATTTAACATTAATTATTTAAAATAAATTCCCCTAATAAGAGGGTTTTTTTCCTGCCAGAGGATAAGAGATTTTTGCTATTAGTGTTGGAGATTATATTTTGTCAATATGGTAATAATGCTTTTACCGAATATGTTTGTGTCTGATTATTAAAATGGAAAACCAAATCCTGAAAGCTGTAGTTTGTGTTGACTAAGCTCAAGTCCTGTTAGTGTCACTTAGACAGAAAAACAGAACAGCCCTTATCAAGTAAGGCTATTTAATAACTAAGTTTTTCACAAATATTATATTGCATGACCTAACTTACGCATCAATAACTTTAAGAGAAACCATGGGAATATCTGATTTTTCTTCTCATTGGCTAAACTAAAAAAAAAGTATCACACCCAAAACAAAAAGACTGAAGTGTGAAACAGAAAAGGTATAAATTTTCATTTTTCACTTTCTTAAGGAAAATTAGATTTAATCTTGAAATATCATTTTGAGATCATTGTCAAGTTTAATTTTAAAATACTTAAATAAAACAAACATAACTTCTAAAGCTATTTTGTTTATGGCTTCAGTTTATCTCTCTTTTAATTTCTCAGCCATTTGTCTACAGAGCACTAAATCACTAAATTCCCTTGTAGGTAGACCACAGACAGAAGGAAAAAAAATTTAAAAATCTGGTTTAGTTAAAAATGAATGCAGAATTTCTCATGGAATTTCTGGTTTAGGATGAGGAATGACCCAATACTCACTCTCCTGAGAATACCACCCGTGTGGGCAGCTCTGGGTGGGTTCTGCTTTGCAGCCCCCGGTCAGAGGGGCTCACACAGCTTCTGAGACCTTCTCTCTCTTTCCCAGCTACTGGCCGGAGCACCATTCGGCAGCACAGTCAGCAAGACCATTCCCCAGAAGCATCTTAAATCTGCTCAGGACCTGGACACCATCTGGTCACTAGGGGCAAGACTAAACCCACTCTGTATTGTTTGGCTATCTCTGTTCTGCTGTAATCATTAGTTACTGCTCTTGCTTACAGGCTCTGGTCTTTGCAGGGCTACCTCCAGTACTCTGTTTTGTTTTATGGCTACTATGGCAGTGACAGGAAGATTGGGAAAGCTGGATATCGGCTGCCTCTTGCCTACTTCCTTGTTGGAATGGCAGTGTTTGCTTACAGCTTCATCATTCTCTTAAAAAAGTAAGACATTGCTGTTCATAAGCTTCTGTGTTTGGGCAATCATTAATGGTGTATGCATCCCATTTCATCTGTGTTTATGCTGCATCTATTAATCTCTTCAAGTCTGCTAATATCAGGGAGACACACTGAGCTTAATTCTGGCTTGCTCTTCATCTTGCTGTTGTTTGTCTCCACTCTCTCTTCAGTTTCCTTGTCTATAAAAGGAGGGGAGCACACAAAGAGATTTGTGTGCCTTGTGTTTGTATACCGTAAGTTCTGACACTCATGAAGTCCTTCCTGTTTTACTCTTTTCTGGTATAAATATTGTCATGACAGAAATTTATATTTTAAGTGCAACACTTTCACCATTATTATGCCCATCTATAGAAACACAAACATAAAAATTCCATCCTAAATGTAATATTATTTGCATTTTTTTTCAGCCGGTGCATGGCATCCCATTTGAATGTAAACTTCATTTCTTAGCTGTTGAAAGGCCAGTAGAGGTTACTTAGCAGAGAGAGCACAACTGCTAGCACTGACCATAAATCCAGGAATGTGCAATGCTGGACACAGGCAAGGTCACTCTATCCCAATTTGCTTTCCCTTCCCTTCTGGATACCTATTTGTCTGGCACTGTGCAGTCCAGACACTTTTAGCTCTGCCTGTAATAACTCAGTTTTGAAGCTGAACCTTCTCTTTTCATTTATTTTTATTCTACCTGCTGGTTTGTACCAAGGGTCACTGATGTTTTGACACTGATCTACACATCTGCAGTTTGTGGATATGAATGGCCCTTCTCCTTCTGACTTAGCTCACTGACTCTTTGCTTAGCTACTTACAGTTCCTCTTTTAACATTGTCCTTTTGGGTGCCCTTTCTTTCATAAGCTATTAATCTTCATTTCACTTCTTACACTTTGCAATATTCTGCCATCTTGCCTGAGAGGAGAAGTTGAGGTTTTCTTTTTTTTCCCTGAGGTAGAACAGCACTAGGTTTCTATTTGACAATAACACCTATTTTGAACATGAAAACAATACAGAAAACAGATCTTGTGCATGATCAGTAGTTTTGCTGAAATAGCTTGTAATCACAGTAATAGGGATCTTAGTGATGGTATCTTCTGGATGGATCCTACCAGGAGGTCATAAAACTGAAATGTGTCTAAGTCCACAGGTCTAGAGAGATTTATTTGCTTTATTTGTCAGCTATAAATAAAAATCTCTATAAATATCAAACTGCCCTTCCACACTGAGTCACTTCTTCACTAGATCAAAAGCAAAATTCATGCACTTGAAACTCACCCTGTTTTTTTTCTTCAGAAAGATGACAACTTTTGGTAGTTCTGAAGGTGTAGACACCTGAAAACTATATACCGAACTAGTTACTTCCTTCATACATTAACAACAGCTGATTTCTTTTTTTTTTTTAATTTACTTACAGAATGGCAAAGAACTCAAGAATGAGTTTAGCAAGTGCCTCTGATGAAAATTACACTTTCTGTTGGAGACTGTTCTGTGCTTGGGACTATTTAATAGGAAACCCTGAGGCTGCAGAGAGCAAAGCTGCTGCTATAGTTAATAGCATTAGGGTGAGTAACTAACCTTCAAATTATTTAGAGTTGATTTGTTTGTTAGTCTGCTCTCCT